AAAATAGCATCAACCCTGGATCATAGATCTAAAGTGGCAATCAACAATATGTAGTAATTCGCATATAACTTTAATAAAATGCATTAGACTTACGAATTTAAAATCAATTTTGGGATTAAGTCAGTCCTACATAAAGTCTTACAATCTTGCCAAAAAATAACAACTAGATAAACTTACATAAATGCTTTAAAATCATGCAAGCTCACACTCAATGCATAAGTTAGATATATTATGTTATTTTTTTATTTTAAGAAAAAGGACTTACGGCTTAGCCACTTAAGCTACTAAGAAATCTGACCATGAGAATATACACATGGTGACTTATAATACATTTTTTATTATCTAGTAATTAATATGAGAACTTTTACTTTTATATATGACTCATAGGACTATGTGTATATATTCATCAGCTAATTACAAGACTTTTAGTCTTTTAGATTGGTTTCTAACCACACCCGTATGGATAAGCAATCAGTCAATCACTAAATTGTATCCTAATGCCCATTAAGAGGTTTTGCATTTTATTTTATTTTAAAAGAGAGCATATTTTTGGATAAGCTATGTAATTTTATTTAAAAATTTTTCATATTGTTAATTTTAAGATTGTTTATATTTTAATAAATAGACAACTTAATTTTCTAAGAGCCCATTGTACAAAATGTAAAGGTCACCCCAAACAAAAAAATAGAACAATTATAAGAAAAAGAATACATTCCTTATGCACACTCAAAGTAAACAAGCAATCAAACATAAGAATCAACCACAAAATAATCTAGAGGGCCTTATATTATAAGCAAGAAATAAAAAAATTACTGCTAAGTTTTTTATCTAATATAGACTAATTGAATTTATAAACATATTATGTGCATCTCTAAGATTTGAATGGTCTGGTAATCTTAATACAAACATTTTGGAGGAGTTCCCTACATAAGAAAAGAAACAACAACAACAATATCAAGCCTTTATCCCACTATTCTGGTGGCTATATGAATCTTTTTTCCTCCATTATATCCTTATTAAGAATAAATTTCTCATTAAAATCTAATAAAAAATCATTTATAAGATTTTCCAACCAAGCTTTTTAGGTCTATCTCTACCTCTCTTAACATAAGCCAAATCTAATATATCTACTCTCCCAGCCGAGTCATCAAAAGACCAATGTTTTATGTGAGCAAACCATCTAAGGCGATATATCTAATCTTATTTGCCATTAGAGCTACCCCAACATTTTCACATATATGCTCATTTTGCATTCTATCTCTAAGAGTAAAGTCACTCATCCATCTGAGCATCCTCATCTCTACAACACTTGGTTTAATTGTATGCTTCTCTTTTAATGGCCAACATTCTACGTCATATAGCATTGCAGGTCTCACCACCATCTTAGAATTTTTCATTAAGTTTGAGGGATACTTTTCTACCACATAACAAACCCAAAGTATTCCTCCGCTTCAACCATCCAACTTGAACTCTACTAATAATATCCTCATCTATTTAATCATCACTTTAGACAATAGACTCGAGATATATAAAATGTATACTCTTATTAATGACTTAATCACCCAAAGTCATTATCCCTCTATTAGATATATTACTATTAAAATTAGACTCCATGTATTCGATTTTAGATCTACTCAAACGAAAACCTTTAGACTCAAGGTTGGCCTCCATAATTCAAGTTTACCTTCAACTCCCTCTCTAGTTTTATCAACAAGAAGAATATCATCAACAATAAAGCATACGCCAAGGTACATCCTCTTGCAAATGCCTAGTAAGAACATCCAAACAAAAACAAAAAGATATGGGCTTAAAGACCATCCTTGATGTAATCCAACTAAAATAGAAAAATACTTGGTCCAACCTCCATGTATTTGAACATAAGTAACAGCTACTACATACATATCCTTAATGACTTGAGTATAAGCATTATTAACCCTTTCTTTTCTAAAACTCTCCATAGCACTTCTCTAAAAATTTTATCATGAGCTTTCTCTAAATCAATAAATATTACATGAAGATCCTCCTTATTCTCCCTATACTTCTTCATCAAACCTCTCAATAAATGTATAGCTTCCATAGCAAACTTATCCAGCATGAATCCAAATTGATTTTGAGAAATATTAGTATCACATTGTAACATATGCTCAATAACTCTCTCCCATAATTTTAAAGTATAAATGAGGTGGGAGTAAATGCATTGGCTGATGTTTTGCTTTTGAAATTATATGCTTTTGAAAGAGCAAGAGCAATTAATCAACTTCCATGATTTAAACGGTGATTAAATATAATAAAGCAATGATTTAGATCAAGTAATAGTTTACACAACAAAGATTTAGAACACAAAAATAACCAATCAAATCAGATTTTGCTTAATGTGGGGCTTTCGACAGATATCTCTCACTATGTAAGATCCCTCACTCAACTCTTTGATGATTGATGGAAACAGATAAAGCTTACATAACATTTGTGATGTCACAATTGAAAAAAACTTGGAAGAGATAAGACTTAGAAGAGAGTTTACCTTTGTCAGAATTCGGAAGAAAGTCACTATGAATGGGAGGTTGTCGTTGGTCGATAGCGATGGCAAGGGAGAAGAGGATTCTTTCCACATAGTCTTCAACGGAGTGGTCGTTCTCTAGATCAATGTCAAAGAACAGAGGTCGTTGGATGTCAACCTTGGTTGTCGAAGACGAAGCCGTGGTCACGTTCAGGATCAGTCATTCATCAATAGACGGCAAATTACAAGGTTCTGGACCTTCTAGACAGCAAACGGGAACCTTCCGAACAGCAGGACAGCGAGGGGACTTTGCTGAGCCAGCAAACTGGAATCTTTCGGACAACATGACAGCAAGAGGAATTGCTGAAATTTCTGGACAGCAATTTAATCTGCTGTTGGACAGCAAATTGGGTGATTAAAGGAGGCGGGACAGCACTCTGTAGGAGTCGATGTTTAGGAGGAGGAAGTTAGGTGAAAGATTGAGGGTGGAAGATGAGGAAAGAGGGAGCTAGCATGGGGTGGGGGGGGAGGCCTAATTGTCCTTTATTGGAGTTCCCAATCAGGAAGGGATCAATTAAAGGGAGAGGAAGAGGGGGCCGGCCAAGCATGAATAGGAAGGGGTTGGAGATTAAGAGGGTTTCCAATTATAGAAATTGGATTTAGGAAAGAGGATTTAATGTGATCCTCCTCATAATTCAAATTCAAATTTGATTTGGATTGATTGAATGGACTTTCCTAATTTAACTCTTTCATTTATGAAAGATTCTTTTCATATTTAAATTGATTGAAATCTGAATTAAAACTTCCCAAACTACTACAAGCTTATTTTAGGAAAGTAATAAAATTTTGAAAAGTGGAGGGAAGAGAAAAGAGGGTGGCCGGCAGCTTTGGGGATGGGTGTGGCTGATGGGTAAGGGTTGGGGGGTTCAGTCAAGGGGAGAGGGGGCGGGCTGTAGATGGTGGAGGTCGGCCTAGGGCTTGGTAGTAAGTTCGGCCAATGGAAGAATTAGGAGGGGTGGCGACTAGGAAGAAGAAAAAGTTGATGGAGGAGGTGGACCACGAGCTCGGACGCTTCCTGCGGCTGATGGGTAATCTATTGCCATCACCTAAGGACTTCAACTCTCACAAGAACTCTCAAGCTCTCCAAAAATAAAAAGTGGAGAAATTTTAATTATCATAATCATCATCCCCACAAAAGGAAGAAGGGCTTTAAATAGCCAAAATACAATAGCAAGATAAAAGAAAAAAGTGCCCCTAAAAGTCACAAACAACTATTCCCTCAAGTAAGTGTAAAAACGAAAAAACTGCGATAATAAATCAAATATACATATAATAATAATAAACATAATACAAATGATAGCTCAAAAATAAAGTGGTGTGATCGTGGCCGTAGATCGTCATCCTCTTCTCTAGTAGACTCTCCATGATCAGATGTCCTCATCAATAACACATTAACTCAATTCCTCTATAACTCGCACACTCTTGTGCATCACATTTATTCTTAAAAATAGAAATCAACATACACCTTCTCCACTCGTCTGTCATGTTTTTACTCTTCAAAATAATATTGAAAAATTTCATAAGCCAATAAATTCCTTCATCTCCTTGGCATTTCCACACCTCTATTGAAATATCATCAAGCCCAATAGCTTTTTCACACTTCAATTTATTTGAACAGGTCAGTTGACTAAATACAGACCCTAATGCTAATTTTTACAATTTTTTAGTTACTTTTATCCATTTTAAGGTCATTTTTCATGTTTTCTTCTTTTCAACCCATCATTCTAAATGACCATAAAGAGATCAATGATTTTCTTAAAATTTAATTAGTTATTTTAATTTAGGATAGATAATACAATTTATCAAAGGTTTGAAACCAGGGTCGCTTCAATCATCAATGTCATTAATGACAAGGGTGTGGTGAAATTCAACTAAGAGGATTTTTTATTAGCTGAATTTAGAAAGCAAGCAGAATTAATCCTTGCAAAGTAAATTTCAGCCAAAAAAATTATGAAAGCCATGAGCTATGAAGTAAAGCAACTCTAGTTCACAAACTAAATTTAAAACCAAAAACAAAAAATTCAATTTGCCAACAAATTTTTCACAATTATGAAGCTCCTTAGTCAAAAAATTAAAAAAAAAATTAGTTTAAGCCAATATCAACCAAAGAAGGGTAAGCAAATTCAATATCCCAGAAACACTGAACACAAATATAACATGAGATACATGACTACGCAGCTTAACTAGATTATCCCCAAAAAATACTTCTTCCAAAGGTTGATGTATCTACAAGGATCGAACAAATCATGGGTATTAATAAAAAATAATAATCATTTATCTATGATTCACAAAAAATATTCACAAAAAATGAGCCAAAAATAGAATTTAGAAGAAGATGAATACTTCACATGCTCAAAAATGATGATGCATGGATGGTAGTGATCCAACAAAACCATTCAAGACTTTACAAGGTATATCAAACGTACAAGAATTCCGCACTCACCTGAAAAACATGCACAACAGGCTTGACTTGCCAGAATAAAAGAATTTTGTGGTTCTCCACCCATTCATCTACAGATAATAGTGGTTACATTGACAAGTCAAAAACATTACCAAAATAGAGGGAAAGATAATTGCAAACCCCATAGAAAGGAAACTCCGCATAGAAAAGATGTCAAACCTGTGTCGCATATACATATTCTTTCAACATTTTCAGTGAGAAAAGAATCATCAGTTGGCACTGGAACTGGACCATCATAATAGCTTAAATTCCTCTTCTCAAACATCCTTAAGATTTTAACGAGCATTAAAGAACATAATCACAACTAAAAAAAATAAATTCTTGAACCAAAGATACAAGTTCATCATAAAGCAAACAGAGGACAATAAAACATAGCGGTGTACAAACGAATAAGCGCTCAAAATTCAAGTCATTCAATCATAGAGCAAAAAAAAGTATCTTTAAAAATGTATCTTTAAACCATATTATAAATTAACCATTGTTCAAATAAACAGATAAGATAAAATAAAATGAACATTATACCTGGTTGAACCATTTAAGTTTAATTTCTTAAATCTTCTCAAAAACTTAATTCTTACTATGTTCTTTTTTTTAACTGCATCCATGCACAGTTGATCCTATAATTATTTTAAAAACTAATATGAAAGTGCCCGTGATATTATATATGAGGCAATTTTGATTTTTATACTCCAATCTATTTAAATTTTTAATCTCTCAAAATTTTATCTTCTTATATGTGTTGACTTTCTTTTGAAGCATGCCATCAAAGTATCTAAATTTCATGGTTGTGAAAATCGAACCAAACATAAAACCAGAAAAAAGAGAGGTTCATGTTTACTGATTCGAAATAAAACCAAATATTCTATTCAAAATAACAACATAGTAGAAAAATTGATTATACAAAATTAAAACAATTTCAATCACATAATCAAACAAATTTATTGAAATAAAATAATACGAGCAATAAAGTTAAGAGATCATCAAATAAAATAATAAATCTCATGTTGGTACAAGGAGATAACTTTCATAAAAGTTCAGAAGGCTATAATGAATTATATCCAACCATAAATTTGTTTCATAGAAATAGAAATGAAATAGCATTGTTCTTTTAAATGCCTCAGACCCCTATTTACAAATAAAATAATTAAAAGATAATTCGCTCATCTTCAAATCTCACAATAATACATGCATAAAACCAAAGGATCCAAATCTTAGGAAGCCACTGACAGTATAGGGAATCCCGTAATAGATCACAAGAAAGTTGCCAACAACAAGTTAAGGAAGTCATGAAGAGGGACCAATAACAAGAGCCACACAAGGAAATCGCAATTCACTGCCTAACACAACACTTAAACTTCTTTTAATTTGGGATAGAGCCCTAACTACATACATTAAAATCACTTGCACTTTTAATTTCTCCACATACATGCTTTTAAAGACTACGAAGTATACAACAACAACAACAACAACATTAAGCATTTATCCCACTGCGTGGGGTCTGCTACATGAATCCTTTTTCTCCATTGTGTCCTATTAAAGGTCAAACTCTCGTTTAAATCTAATAAAGAAAGGTCATTCCTCATATTTTCTAACCAAGTCTTTTTAGGTCTGCCTCTACCTTTCTTAACATAAGTCAAATCTAATACCTCTACTCTCCTAACCAGGTCATTGGAAGGCCGCCGTTTTATGTGACCAAACCATCTAAGGCGACTCTCTCTAATCTTATGTTCTACTGGAGCTACTCCAACCTTTTAATGTATATGCTCATTTCGTATCCTATCTCTAAGGGTAAAGCCACTCATCCACCTGAGCATCCTCATCTCTGCCACACTTAACGAAGTATGAGTTATAAATAATTTTCTTTAAATAGCAGCAGCACCGCGAGTTAAATTGTTTTCATTCGTTCTTACTATAAACAACTTTTATTCAAGCTTGTAGGCTTTTTCAATATAAATAAATCATAAAAATTTCATGTTCTCTTTTGTACTTTTTCATTAATGGTCTTACTATAATAGTGCCCACCATAGACAATGTTCCAAGCATAAAATCAAATTGATTATCTCCTGTTAACTTGATTTTAATTATTTCTATTTCAACAATCTCTTCCACAATTTCATTATATTAGGTCAAAACATAAATAGCCTGCAGTTACTATAATCCAAAGTATATTCATTGTTCTAAACATACAAATAATACTCTTCTCAACCATTTGGCATAGGCATTCCACAATAAAGCACTAAGCGTCCGACATCCATAGCATCACAATCGTGAGCAACATATCAAAAAGGCAATCAATCCATCTCTGCATAATCTGAGATGACTAAATTTTACACAGCATAACATAGCAGTAATACCACATTACCAATTGAAGCCTTAGCCTCAAGGATTACTCAAAAATGACTCAATAATCTATTAAGCCGGCTAAACCGATCCAACCTGGACCGGTTCAGGTGTACTGCCGCTGGCCTAGGGAGGGTGGAACCAAGGGAGAAGGGGGGCAGTTGGCCTAGTGAGCCCAAGCAATTAATGTAATGAGTTTTTAGGAGGGAAATTTGAATTAGGGGGTCTATGTGTGACAACCAGTTCATCCGGCCAGTTCAACTGAACCGGCCAGCCTTCCCTATTAATCACGAGCAGGTACTTTCGTGAAATAGAGGGAGCGGGCGGACGGCTGCGTGCGGGAGAGCGAGGTAAAGTTCTTTTTTTTTTCAATTTTAGCAATTGATTGCGTTAAAGGATGAGAATAATCAACTCTTTTTCATTCCCGCAGTTAAGGAAGTGCTAAGTTGGGAGAAATTTCAAAGAACGAGAGAAACTACCGAGAAGAAAGAAGGAAAAATGTTGGATTTTCTTACAAATTTTCGTATAAATTTCCTTCTTTTAGTTCATTTAAAGCGAACGATATGTTTCTTAAAGGAAAAGAGGGGAGTGAAAGCAAGAAGAAAGAATTTTGGAAAAGGAAGAAGGATTTTAGGGAATTTGGAAAATCCCTATTGTAAGTAAATTTATATCATGAGAAATTTCTTATTAAGTTTTATTAGCAAGTCAAGTTTTCATGAAAATTTTTATTATTGATTTTAGAGATTTTGGGAAGGAAGATATCGAAAGCTATAGGAGTTCGATTTAACAAGAATTCCTGGAAAATAAAACTATCGTAAGATAGAGGTAATGTTATAGAAGGAATTAAATATTGTTAAGGCATTCAAATTTGATTTAATACTAATTAAATCATTATGTTATTGTGAACAGTTTTCATTTCTGGACGAATATTAGAAGAGAAAATAAAATTGGTAATTATGAAATTTTCTTTATTATATTTTCTAGCTCGTTTCGAAAGAAGCATGCATATAATTGTTTAAAGCTTATGATTTATATATTTTTTGAAAACTATTATAAGAACTAAGAAGTAAGTAAATGTTTGTACAAGTATGGATATGTGAAAAAAAAATGTATATATAATAAGAAAGTATATATGAATGAAAGAATTCAAATAAATAAATGTTAAGGAAATGATACAAATATAAATGAATCAAAGGGAAATGAAAAAATGTTATGCATACAAAACTTAAAGGAGTTCACCCCCGCATGGTACTGACTGGGGAAGCAACGTACCCGAGCACGTAAAATAAGGAAAATGATATAAAAATGGAAATGGAAATGGAAAAAGATTGTAACATTGGTACATTTAGACGGTGCTCCTGTACAATATAAATTAAGGAAAAGGAATAATTGTTAAAGTAAATGTTATAAATGAATATGCTATAGTATGAAAAATGTAAAGTAAAGGAATATGATACAATATGTATATAAAACGAAATGAAATAAAGAAAGAAAATATGCATCAAATGTTAAATTAATAAATCAATATCAAATGTTATATATATATATGATACAATATGTATGTGAATTGTTTTTAACTATTATCCACTGAGTTTATACTGTAAATTCAAACCCTAAATTAATGTCTCAGGTAAATCCCCAAAGAAGAAGAAATGGATGAAAGAGAAGAATTCGTCTATAGAAGACGACGTGCAAATGACAACAGGTTAAATGAATGATGAGAATGCTTAGTTTGGTTCTAGATTGATTAAAGTTTTATTTGTGTTTAGTGGCTCTTCAGTTGATGAAAAGTTTATGTAAATTTTTTTTTGAAATGTGATGAATTGATAATACCGTCCGACTTTCAGTTCCCACCTCGTTAAATCAAGTATCCGGGCAGGGTCGTGACACTATGAGCCCAAGCAACTAATGTAATAGTGTTTATGAGGGAAATTTGAATTAGGGGGGCTGTTTAGGAATTTTGTATGTCTTCTTTTGCTTTAACTAGGTGCTAGCAATAGAATGAGGATTTCATCTGGAATTTGAAAACCAATTTGAGATCTAGGATTTGTATTCTTGGGCTCAAAGCTTGGCTAGAGATTTGAAGAAATGTTTCTTCCTCTTGAATTGAAGAAACTTGAACCATTGCTGTTTTCTTTCATCTATTAGTGGATTTCCTCATTATTTCTCTCATTTTTTCCTATTTGCCTAAGAAAATCTGCTGTCAACGGCTGTTTGACTGCTGTAAACAGCAATTATTTTCATTGTTTTCCACCCAATCTTGCTAGATTTGCTTGCGAACTCAAGTATTACCCTTGACGTTACTTGCAAACTCAAGTACTTTCTATCAAATTATCGGAGCATTGTCTTGGGACCATTGGCGGCTGAAATCCATAAATTTCAGCAAGGAATTTTCATCCGCATGAAGCTTTCTTGTAAATCATGGGAAGGAAAATGGCCGGAATAAAAGTTGAAGTATTGGAGGGAGAAATAGGTCAACTAAAGACCAATTTAGAGGAAAAAACCGCTGATTTTCATAATCAATTTGCTTCCATCTATAAAAAGATGGATGGAAGGTTCGCCACCTTGGAAGACATGATGAAGAAAATGCTTGAAGGCAACCAAAATCCGGCGACATCGGAAGCAATGGAGACCACCGGCAACAATGAGAGATGCAGAAATCCGAACCCATTTAGGGAGAAGGGGAATCCGGAAGTGGAGATCCTTGAGGGAAATGATGGAATGCCTCCCCTAGAACCACTTTCTACGAAGGAGATGAGTATGTGCTATGAAAGGAGGGGTGATTTTGTTGGGACAAACAAAGGATGAATTTTACCGCCAGGGTGCTGAATATGAAAGGAGAAAAGGGGAATATGAGGAAGGGCTCGAGTATGATCGCCGAAGGGAAGATCATGACCACTAGGGAACACCTCGGGGAATGGGAGGT